CCGCAAGTCCACCACAGATTAAACACATATACCAAAACTCAAAAATTCAAATGGGAATCGGACTCAAGATCAAAAGGATGCAATCTCTTTTTCTAGGTTATGATCTACTACTACTAACACGTACCACTTCATTTGGATTAATTTTTTTTTTGGATCAACACATCTGGATTACTTTTAGATTATTTTTTATACATATACTAAACAATTAGGTGACTCGTCTGCGTACACGCGGATAACTTATTTATAATTTTGTTTTCAATTTTACACTTTGAAAATGTGAAAATATGTATTTATTTTATTTTTTATTATAGACATTGTTGTTGATATTTTTGTTGTTAATTTTGTTGTCAACAATATTTTTTTGTTAATAATATGAATTTTCGAAAGTTTAGTTATATCATTTTATTATTTTATATACGTAACGTTTCAAATCAAAAGTATAGTAATTTAATACATTGGACTGCACAATCTATTATAAAAAGTTGTGATTCCTCTCATAAAAGATTGAATCTCCTATTTGATTATCTTTTAAAAAAACTAATAATTTTTTTTCACATTAAATCTTATTTAAGAATATAAATCTATTTAGAATTCAAATATAGCAAATCTTATTGTTGCTAAATATGCAATTTACGATCACTAATCAAATTAAAATTCTATTAAAATGAATTAAAAAAGATGGCATATCATCATAATTTAATGGAAATTTGTGATCAAATTTAGTAGAATGTCATATAATAATTTTTTATTAAGAGTGATTATAGAACTCACCTAAGCAAATTATAAAAAAATACTTTTTAAATACGGTTGATGTAACTAAATGAATTATCAATCACAATTATCAATGTAAAACATGTTCATAACAAAATTAACCAATTGTATAATATGATTCGTTTTTAGAAGGTTAGGGGAAAGTAAAATTTTATCCTCTATAAGCCTAATGTTTAAAATTGTTTGAGTTGCTAACCTACTACGTTAAACTGTAAACACAATAAACGAAATTAAAATCTTAAAAAGTATCTTATCTTCCATAAGAGATTTTCTATGATTAATTTTTAGGTGTCAAATTTTCCAAAAACGAAATCGATATTAATTATAAATTATCTTTTTCTAACTATAAAATATATTTATTTTTACATGTTGTAAAATTATTTTTTGATATATGTATATATTCATTACGAGGTCTTCTAGATTAATTTCCAAAACTTTGAGTTTAGATTATTTTGTTATATTCATGTAATTAAATATTTCACATTCATATAATAAAAATATTATTTTATATTACTTACTCTATATTAGGTTTCATGAGTTTTTGTTCAATATGTTGTGTTTTTTTCTATTAATTTTAGTTTCTTGTATAATATTTTTTGATGCTTTTACGTTTTTGTATTTAATTTTTAAATAATGTTTTTTGCTTTATTATAGAGAATAAATGAGGATGACATAGCAATATAATTTTATGAAAAACTGTTACCAAATTAGTTATGAGTTGTCATGTCATAATTGCCAAGTCACAATAAAATTTGTGAGAGTGATTCTGGAAGCGACACGTCATCTTTTTGAGAGAATCACTATCAAAATAATGTGTAAGGGATTTTTTTTCTATTAATTTTAGTTTTTTGTATAATAATTTTTGATGCTTTTACGTTTTTGTATGCAATTTTTAAATATTTTTTTTTGTTTTATTATAGAGAATAAATGAGGATGACATAACACTTGTAATTTTATGGAACTTTGTTACAAAATTAGTTATGAGTTGTCATATCATAATTGCAATGTCACAAAAAATTTGTGAGAGTGATTCTGGAAGCGACACATCATCTTTTTAAGAGAATCATTTTCCAAATAATGTGTAAGGGATTTCATTCTAAACTGTCAAGATAAATTTTTTAAAATATCACTTTTCAAGTGCCACTTTTCAAAAATGCCACTTTTTAAAAAAAAAAAATAATTCATTATATTATTTATGTTTGGATTAACTATGTTGTATTAGAGTTTAGTTTTGAGGTTTAAGGGG